TATTAAGTGCCTACTATGTGCCAGGCACTGTATTAAGCACTTTACAGATGGAATCTCATTTGACACTCACAACAACTGGGAAGCAAGTGATGTTATTAGCCTCATTTTACAGTAGAAGAAACTAAGGCAGATATTTAGTAACTTGCCCAGGGTCACACAGCTAGTAAGTATCTTAGGGCAGATTTGAACAAGGGTCTTCCTGACATCCTGTCTCTCTGTGCTAACTGGGTCCCTCATAGTCAGCTTCCATATTTCTTTATGTTTAGAGGAGGAACCAGCAACATGAGGCATACCCACAGCCTGCCTGTCTTCTTGGAAACACAGGCTAATTTTCACTGGACATACAAGCTGGAAAGTTAAGCCCCGTAAAAGCTGGCACCAGCATTCCCCTTTCCCAGAACAACCAAAGAAGACCCGGAACTGTGGCATGCCACTCTTGAAAGATTGCCAACTCTGGTATGGGCTATGTCAAAATGCTTTACTGTAACAGATCTGCATCCTGTCATTTATTATGCAAATGAAGCATGGCATAGTGTGTAGAGTGCGGGACTCAGGGTCAGGAAGACCTAGGCTCAAATCCTGCCTCTGACTCTCACTGTATGACCATTGATAATTCATGTAACCTCTATAGGCCTCAATTTCCTTATCTGTAAAATGGGGATGATAATAAAACCTGTAATACATCACAGGGTTGTTGTGAGGCTCAATTGAGGTAATGTAGGAAGTGCTATATAAATATTGGCTATTATTATGTGCAAAGTATCAGCCTCCCATTCATGTGTCCATTTCCATAAATACATATACATCATTACCCCCAAAGGGTAGGAACACTGTAGTCTGGCAAAATTGTAGGAGAAAGGTCATTCTAAGGTCAGCAAATGCCCCATGGTTACTCAGAGGGATTTTGCCAGGACTCCTGTACCTTCCTCTTGGGAAAAGAACCTGGAGCAACCTGAATATCAATATTCAAGTACTAATAATACTGGCTAGCATTTATGTAACTTTAAGATATTTATATGTTATTTATGTAGGTTTTATATAAGTATTTATATATTTGTGTAAGTATTTTTATATATAATATAATGTATATAAATATAACCTGTAACAAATATAAAATACCATAAAAATGTTATTTATATAACTTTAAGGTTTGCACAAAGTACTCCACATGTATTATCTCATTTGGTCCTCTCAACAACCCTATGATGTAGATACAATCATTATCTCCATCTTACAGATGAGAAAACTGAGGCTGAGAGAGGTTTAGAGATTTGCCCAGGATCACACAGCTAGCAAATGTCAGAGGCAAGATTAGAACTCAGGTCTCCCTGGCTCCAAGCCCATCACTGCATCACCTAGCTTGTGTCTTAGCAACCTCCCTGGCAACAGAGAGCAGTCTCCTAGCATTCTCTCCAGACCTGATCCAAGAGGGCAGCATCACAGACCTTAGAATCTCCAAGTTGGAAGGAACCTTAGAAGTCATTTCATCCAACCTGTCCCCTGAAAATAATCCCCACTATAATATACGTGACAAGTGGTCATCCACCCTTGAAGACCTTGAAGAACACTCATGATGAGGAGCACAGTGTCTCTTATGCAGGTGTATTCCAGCACTGGATGGCTCTTATTGATGGCAAGCTTCTCCCTACATCAAACCCTAGCCTGTCTCTCCATAGAATAGATTCTTATTCAGACAGATGACCTTTGAGGTCTCTTCTCATTCTGAGATCCCTGTAGTTTATCCACATTATTCCTTGTTCTGCCCTCCAGGGCCAAGAAGAACAAGTCTAAAACCTTTTCTATATGATGGTCCTTCAGATGCTTGAAGACAGCCATCATGTCCTCCCTGAATCTATTCTCTGTCCTCACCCTCCCTCCCACTCTCCTCAGTGTCGGGGGTTCCCTGGTAAAGAAACTCACTCTACCAATGTAGACCAGCAACTGTTCTGCAATTAATAGTCTCAGAGAGTTGGCTGGGGCACTCAGAGATTAAGTGACTTGGCCAGTGTTACCCCGCTAGTCTGTGTCAAAGATGGAGCTTGAACACAGGTCATCCTGATTGTGGTGCCAAGATTTTACCTGCTATACCAGGCTGTCTCTAAGATAAGAGTCTTCTATTTTTCCGACAGAAATATCCCCCAATTCTTTCAACTAGTCCTCGTAGGGTATATTCTCCAGTCCCCTCACCATCGTATTTGTCCTCTAGATATACTGGAACTATGAAATTCAAAACACATGGTCCCCCAACACCCAAGTTGAGCCTTGATCACAACACTTCTGATGTCATCCAGCAGGAGCCATTGCTCCCCCCGCCCCATACACACACACCTATTCTAGACACTATGACTTTTCTTAATCCTGCATTACCTTTCTAATGTCAGTCACATCATACTGCTGGCTCATGTTGAGCTTATAAAACACTAAGACCCCAAGTTCTTCTTCTAAGTCATTATTATCTAGTCATACGTCCCCCTATCCTGTACTTGTGCATTTGATTTTAAAAAAACAAAACAAAACATTCCTTCCTTTCTGTAATGCAGCTAGTCATTACAACAGCACCTCAAAGGCCTTTATAGCTAATCTTTGCTCTTCCTGGTCTCTCTCTTAGTTAATGGAATCCGAGGCCTGGATTCCATCTCTTCCTCTGGGTATTTGAGCAACCACTCCCACACGTGTAGAATTCATTCCCACCTTACCTTTACCTCTTAGAATTCTGAGCTTCCTTCAAGGCTCAACTTGAGTGTTACTTCCTACAGAGAACCTTCCCTGATTCCCCTCCTTGCCTCACAGTGGTTATTATTCTTCAAAGTGCCCCTTCAAATAGCCTACATTATGCCTCTGGTTGTCAATTCCTTCCCCCTTTCCCAAACATCTTGAGGGCAGTGACTTTTTCATTTTGCCCTTAAATCCCTAACATCTAGCAGAGTACCTTGCATGTAGTAGTTCCTAACAAGTCCTAACAATTCATTAATCTGAATTCTGTCATTGGGAATGCTGCCAAATTGAGGCGTTGAAGATTAAGCTCCAGTGGGGGCTTAATGCCAGATCCTTTTTTTCCCCCACTCTCACCTAGCATTTTGAATTAGAGGCAGCCTGATTACACAGGCTTTCTCCCCCGCCTAAGGGAGAAAGAGCCAGATATAAACAGTAACAGCTAAAGACTGATCATTGAAGAGATGTCATCAAACCAAAGAAATTTTACTTACCACTGTATACATCCTTATCAAGCTCCCTGAAGATTGGTTCTTTCAGAGGTTCTTAAAGTCTGCTGGTTCTAGATTGGTTTCTAGATTAGCCAGTTTCCTTGTCTTCCTGAGTGTAAAACATAAGCCCTTGTATTTAGGAGCCCTCCAAGTCAGTCTGCAGAATGAATGGCCCTTGATTGTACCCCAAAAGGAATCCTCATGCCCCAGATTATGATGAATGGAATTTAGGTGACACTGTCACTGACCTCAATGTAGCCTTTGTTTTTAACATTAATAAATCATTACTAGGTAATTTCTCTGTGAAAGCAAGCTTAAGAATAGCCTTGATGGCATTCCAAATTTCCTCTCTAAGGCTTTTGCCTCTGTTTAAGATATCACTCTGGTCTTATGCTCAGCAGGAAGATGGAAAGTGAAGAATGCTGAGAAATCATTCTATTTTGTACTCTTCCTAAAGAATGGTCTGGCTAATTACAGGGTGCAAGGAAGACAACCCATCCTATGTGGTCACATCAGGTTTTTTTTTCTTTCCTGTTTTCCTAAATTTGGCAATAAAGTGTGATGGAGGATACAATTAAAGAGAGAGAGAGAGAAAGAGAAAGAGTGAGAGTGAAAGAAAAGAGAAAGAGAAAGAGGAGAGAGAAGTGAAGAGAAGAGAAGAGAAGAGAAGAGAAGAGAAGAGAAGAGAAGAGATACAGTGGCAGAAATATGTATTTTTGGCTGGCTCTCCATCAGATAAGGGAAAAGGCTCTTTCATTCACTCAGGGAATGCAAAAGTACATTTTGTTGCTGAGGTAACAATTTCTCCCTCCTGGGGAGTGAAAGGAGAGTTAGCCTCTGTGCTGTCTCTATCACAGGCTAATGTATTTCACCATGTACCTTTCTCCCAAATGGGTACACGTGAAACAGCAGGCAGGGTTCCTGTGCCACCTGATAAGTCCTGAGGTGCTTCTGCGAGGGAAATCCCAGGCCAGCTTTCTACTTCCCTGTCTTAGGCAACTTGAGGGTGGGGAGGGGGAAGGGGAGGAGGCAGGCAGAGGCAAAGATTTTACTGGTTTGGTTACAGAGGAGTTGCTGCTGATCTGCCTTGGTGGAGAGAGTGATTCTCCCCACACTGGTGAAATCACATGCCTGCAATACTCCTTTCCTACAAAGTAAGAAGCTTAGTTCAGGCTAAGGCAAACTACAAACCAAGAGGACAGAAAACAAGGCCATTGTTTTGTGTCCTCCATTCTCCCTTCCCTCTCCAAGGGCAGTAATTACTTATCCCCTCATTAAGCAAAGAGGTTGGAACTTTGCCTGGGATCTCTTTAATCTCTCTCAAGTCTCATTGTGTTATGATCAGATGCTATCAAGTATGGGGCTGAGGGGCACGTGTGACTGTTACTTCTGGTCCCCCTGGGCAGCCTCCTGAGAAACAGACATTCAAGAAATGTTTATGGAGCACACTCTATGTGGGTGAAGGCACTATGTTAGGCACAGTGGGGAATATAACACTGAAGGCACTAGGGCCTCTCCTCTGAAAGACCCTATGGGTTAGTCGGAGAGATGAGACGTCTATATAAATTCAATCCAGTCCAATAACTATTTGCTCACCACCTACTCTAGGTTCCTGGGATGCAAAGGTGAAAATGTCGTCGCCTTGCTTCCAAGGACATTGTGTTTGTAGCAAATGTAAATTGATTAGGGAGTGGGAAGGGGAGAGAAGGATAAAACTTGGAACTCAAAACTTTAAAAAAATGTCAAAAATTGTTTTAACATGTAAGGAATAAAATATATATTTTTAAAATGTAAATCAAATTAGCAGTCTGGGTTGCATTAACAGAACTCAACAATGATTTCTTCATTTCCAAATCACTGGCCTGTTCTTGGTCCTCATGCTTCTTGATCCCTCTCTAAAGCATTTGACACTGCTGACCATTCCTTCCTCCTGGATACTCTTCGTTCCTTGGGTTTTCCTGACACTGCTTTCTTTGCAGTAGATTACTATTGCTTCTAGGATTTAAAAACAAAAACAAAACATTGTTTAGCTTTTAAAGTTCTATTTAACCTGGTTCCAATCTATTCTTCCATCCCCATTGGCCATTATTCCAACTCCCTCATTCTGCCTTCCGACCCAACTGGCCTCTTTGTTCCTCACATACTCCATCTTCTATCCTCCTCTCCATGCATATTGTTTTGAGGATAAAATGCAAAAGCTTCTGTTTGGCATTTAACATCCTTCACAATCTGGCCTAGGCTGCCTTTCTAGGCTTATAGAACATCACTGTCTTTCACATGCTCTCTGTTCCAGCCAAACCAGCCTATCTGCTGTTCCAGGTACTTGACATTCCATTTCTTGTTCAGTTCCGTTGTACAGGCTATTCCACATACCTGGGGAAGGGAACAAACTTTTATTATGTGCTTACTATATGTCCGACACTATGCTAAACATTTTACAAATATTATCTAATTTGATCCTTATAGAGTTTCTAGCTTTCTTCAAAGGTCAATTCAAGTGCCACCCCCAAAGAGAATCCTATCCCAATCTCCTCAATTGTTAGTGACATCCCCCAGAAATTACTTTTTATATACTTTGCTTATATTTTGTGCTTATATATTTATACACATACACATATGTATGATTGCATATCTATAGCTATATCTATCTATCTATCTATCTATCTATCTATCTATCTATTTGTGTGAAGTTTTCCAACACAATGTAAGTCATTTGAGAATTACTTTTTAACTCTGTATCTCAAGTGCCTGGCACAGTTCATGGTATATGGTGGGCACAGGATAAATGCCTATTGAATGAATGATGAATGAATGAATGGGCAACACTCCCATCTATTTGGTTGTCAGTCCACCAGAACCACTCCCCTTCTCCCTTCTCATTCCATGCTGGATGATTTGTTATCCTGGAACATGGTTCATTCCATCTTGACTCAGCCCCCACATACTTGGTTGGGTGGCCAACTCCAACTCATATTGATATCTCAAATGGTTTTGAAAAGTAGGTAGACATATATGGACAAGAATTTGGGAAAGCTCTTTTTGAGTTTGATGATGCAACAAAATAATTCAAAGACATTCTAACCATCATCAATGAATGAATGTGATCTCCCACAGTATTTGGCAGACCATAAAAACATTCAGGACCTGCACACAACAGTAAATGCTACAGCCAATGCCAAGATAGTAAGGACCATTGGAAAAAAGGGGACACTCTCTAAGAATGCTCCTAAGGAAAGGCATCATTACAAGCATGACAGAAGCTGCTTGAGAAAACTACTCAATACCTGTGAAAAGACATTGGAAAATGACGTCAATCTCTGTCTGATAGAACCAATAGAAAACTTGAAAACCTCATTGACCACTTAAAGGCAAAGAAAGAGACACACATGGAATGGAATTTGGGAAATAGATAGATAGATAGATAGATAGATAGATAGATAGATAGATAGATAGATAGATAGATAGATAAATGAATGAAATAAAATCAGAAATCCTTGATACCCTTAATCAGCAATTAAAATTGAAAACCCAAAGGTTAAAGTGGCACAAGAAGTTAAAGCATCACAAAGAACAAAATAAATGATACAACATCAATCAAAAACATTATAGATGTTTTAGAAGCATAGAAATTAGGGGAGAAAGAGAACCCCTGAAGGAGGATTTGGAAATTTCTGATTATCTGTATGGCTGAAAGAATTCCAGTACGATATAAACATGAATTGTATCAAATATGAAAATAAAAGCTTGAATGCAGTTGGCATAATAGACTATAAAATGATCACATCCAGGGAGGTGACTGAAAATCTAGTTTCTCTGCAAAACTGGAAAGTGGTAGGTCTTGATAAAATCCATATTTATTGACTCAAACCCTTCCCAATGATACATGAATTAATAATAAAACATTTTACCAGCTTCCTCTGTGAGGAAAGCCTGATCTCACCTTTCTTAACAGATCTCATAAATTTATTGCCAGAAGGTGAGAATACCAGTGACCCCCTCCTAATATATGTTAATTTTATATGTAGGGGTGTGCTGATAAATGTTTAACAATTGACACTCTAAAAAATAACATGTATACACAATACAATTTTAAGTTTAATCTTTATTATAAACATTTTCTTCATCATTTTCTTAAGTCTACAAAACCAACAAAACAATAAATCAAGCCTTGATTTCTAGCATTTGCTGATTTCCAAGATATAAATGCTTATACTGAAAATTTAACAAATGGCTTTCCAGAGCCCTGTACAAGTTGGTCCCAGCACATTACTGATCAAATGTTGATATGCTCTGGAAACTTTTCATAACTTGCATTGCTAGCTAGGGCAGCTAGGTGCACCAGGAATCAGGAAACCCTAAGTATTGATCTGTCTTCAGGTGCTCACTAATTGTGTGACCTTTGGCAAGTTACCTGACCTGTCTGCCTCTATTACCTCATCTATGAAAAGAGGATAATAATAGCACCTACCTTCCATGGTTGTTGTAAGGATAAAATAAGTTAAGATTTGTAAAGCACTTTGCAAACATTAGGATTATATAAGTGCTAGCTATTATCATTATTATTATTAGACCTATAAACACTTAAAAGCACATTAAATCAGCTATTTTATCTCATGCAAACTTTCTCCAATAATATTTAAATAGTGTAAAATTCTTAATTTGCACCAAGAAGAGAGAATGAAGGCTTGGAGTTTGAATCCAGAGGCCAAATTGAACCAATGGATGAAGGAAAGAGTTGCAAGTACCTTGTTCTTCTATAGGGAAGATTCCCTGAACTAAGGTTATGAAGGAGAAAGCCCAGTGCTGCACATGTTAGGGCTGTGACTGGCATCCTAAAGTCAAAGCTTAATGGAAAGAATGTATTTTGGGCAATTAATTCTAATGCAATTCTAGTCTTAAGGTATACTTTTGAAATGGATTTGGAAAATACTCAAACAAAAACTAACACAATATTAAAGAGACACATGGCTTACTCTGAGGCAGCAGTAGAAAAATTAACACTTTCTTCTCAGAAAGGAGGAAGAACATTGAGAGATATTCTCAGTGCACAGAATAAAGAAGTTAAAGTTGATATGAAAACTTTTGGAATAAACAGATTTCAGTTCATAAGGTAAAATCTGATAAAAAGCATACACCACTAGATTTATTAAATGTGCCAAAAAGTCTTTATTTCTGACTAGAACTTATGAAATGACATCATCATCATTAGTAGTAGTAGTAGTAGTAGTAGTAGTAGTAGTAGTATAGTAGTGATGCTGTTATTATTGTTGCCATTATACTCAGTACAAGAATCTTCAATCTCATCAGTTTGAGAGTTCCTTCCAATAATACAGATCACAATCTATCTATGCTTGTCCATCCTGTGCAACTTGACAATAATAACAATTATTATTATAGCTAACATTTATGGAATACATTAAGATTTGCAAAGCATGTCACACCCATTCTGTCATTTGATCCAAAAGTGTAATCAAAAGATGTTCCATGAACAACATCCACATGAACTCATCCAATAATTTATCAACAAAGGCATGTTGAACAAATGGCTGAGTCATGTCAGTCTATTCAGAGAAGCCAAAGGGTGTTGATGATTCAGGAGCAGATCATTGCCATAAGAAATTATAGAAAGGTTACCTTTATGGAGCCTGGACTTATTGATTGATGAGCCTTGCACTCAAGTACTGGAAATTGTACAACATATCACTGTAACTTACAAAAAGTTTAGCCTCTACTGGATACCTAGAAGGACACAATTGTGTAGCTAGAATTATACCCCATAAGCTCACTATCCTTTATATACTAACAAATGGCAAGATCTCCTACTACCAACAAAACACCCCAAAACTCCTTAAAAAAAAAGTTTAAGAATGGAATTTTGTTTTTTGAACCACAGCCCAATGTATAGATGTTTAGTCAAGAATGAACATTGGTTAAATATATATATATATATATATATGTATACACACACACACATATACATATATATGTATGTATGTATGTATTTTACTTGTGTCTTGTACATCTGATCAAAAATACTTTAAACTGAAAAGGGAAGGAGAGAAAGAAATCTGCCTACAATGTATCTTCCAATATAAATTTCCAAATATTATAGAGTAGCAAGTACAACACAGAAAGAAATATGAATATGTATGTCAGAAGCCATTTAATAAAAAGATGGCTTTATTCACATATGAAATGCATTGATTTGGTGTGGGATCTGGTCCACACCTCTCTAAGAGAAACTATGATTTCTACCTTGGTAGGGAGTAGGATAAGGGCAGTGCCTAGATGTTTACTTCTTCTCTTTTCTCTCTCCAAGATGGATACTAAGCTAGAATTATATCTATCTTCCACACTTCAAACATTGGTAATCTTTGGGTACAATACTTTGAAGTACAAGATAAATACCATTTATCTTACTTAGAGCTTACTATCACCAGCTAAGCTCTCTCTTACCAGTTTCTAGTTACACAAGACTATCATGAATAGCTAACACATCTCTTTATCAAAGTAATCAGTAAAAATAAATTAGGAGCATTATATAGATTAGAGTAGACCAAAGAATACACAAAAGTAAATGAACATTTTAACTTGGGAGCAAGATAAAAATGCCTCAGCTCAATCAAGAAGAAAAATATCACCAAGGATGAGTTCCCCTTAGCATTCTTTCAGGTCACAAACACTTGAAGTCAAGGGACAAGTTGGGGGCTTTCTATCCACATGCCTGAAACTACAGAGAGATCTGCTGACATTCAAAAGTCTGCACTTCTCTCCCCTGACCACCTCTTCTAAAATCCTCTAACCATCATCTGAAGACAGCCCTTCTCTATGTGTGAAGGTATACATCACGGCTCAGTGTTCTCTTAGCCAATCAGAAGTCATGTCCATAGAGATGAAAATGGCCCAATCCAAACAGGTGGATGTGTTATGAAAGAATAACAGTTGAAATAACCTGTCATTCACAAGAAATAATGTCCAAGAAGAAAAGCATCAAT